TTGTTATTGTGTGTTGAAAATCCTATATGCTCATCAGGCTCCCAAGCCTGACCCACTCAACTTTATGTATTACAGGTAGTGGAACAAGAGCATAGTTGAATGGTGACGATGGATTTTGGATTGTAGGTCAGTACATGTAAATAAATGTTGTAAGGCCTATATTGTTCTGTTTATGTTTTTGGTATGTATCGATGTGGACATCCCGAGTTTTATAATGAAATGAAAAATACATTTCTTTAAGAAATGCTTTGATAAATTTTTCTTAATCATATTTTGTTTTGGGAACAAATTTTGCATTACTTTTAATTCAAAGATTACTCTGATTTTTGAATAAAAACATAAACAAAATCGGTCTTTTGTTAGGCTGTGAAAATGGGGATGTCACAGTTGGTATCAGAGCATTAGTTTAAGCGAACTAGGAATTTGTAGGATTTCTAGACTTAAACTTAGAATGCTAAGTGATGATCGTGAGATGAGTATCTACCATATTTTAGACACAAGCACTAGTATATTTTAGAAAAGATGCCTAAAATGATTTTATGTGCTAAATGCTATATGTTTACCATATATGCCATTATTTGTTCCGATCTATGGTTTGTTGCCGACCGGATCTAGAAACGTTATATGTTCAGGATTCTAAGTGTATGACTATGATATTAGAACTGACATGTAACGTTTCGGAGTGATAAGGAGAATTTAAATATCTATCGTGAATAAAGATCTAAATTCGCCTAATTTGATGTATAGATCATAATGGCAAGAACCCAAAGTAGTACTGGAAATGCAAATAGGAATCAGAAACCTCAACCCCAAGTGATGGAGCAAGTGCATATAGTAGAAGCTGCACCATAACCAATCAAAATGGCTGGAGTATAAGCCATGATTCAGGCTATGGTGATTGAACAAAGGGAAGAAATGAGACAACTATTGCTGAACAACATGAGTGAACCTTTAATTCCTGTTGAACAACCTGAACTAACTGATGGTCAGTCAGTGGAAGGAAATTACAGTAGATCTAATGGTCAAACTGAACTGCTTGTAGTTAGGAGGAATAACCAAGAGGATGGAGTCGAGAGAAATGGATGCAAGTACAAAGACTTTATGAATTGCAAGCAGTCAACTTTCACTGTAAAGGAAGATCCCATCGGAGTAATGGATTGGATCTCGAAGATGGAATTAGCCTTCATGACATGTGGTTGAAAAGGCAAGCTACAAACCATATTTGCAATGCGTCAGTTCAGAGGTGGCGCTATTCGATGGTGGAACACTCTGGGAAAGACCCTAAGCCCTAATGAGCATTAGAGAATTAAATTAATCCAGATAATTTAACCACATGATTTAGTTAAAATTAAACCACATGATTTAATAATTATCTTAATTAAACTTTTAATTAATTTATTAAATCAAATGAGCATTAGAGAATTAAATTAATCAATATAATTTAACCTAATCCACTACCCCTAATTGTCGGAAATCATGGGAGGGATAAATCAAATTTGATAATTATCTAGTTAGTCAAATAAGGAGATAATTACCAAAAACAAGAAACCCTACCAAAACCCTAATTTTCGAAAATGGAAAATCTTTGGGAGGAAGGCAAGGATTTCAATCCTTTCCATATTTCGAAAATATGGAGGGTTAAGGAAACCCTAAATTCAAAACTTGTAGGCAAGGGAAAGGGTTGAAACCCTTTCCAAATTTTCGAAACCAAGGTTTAGAAAACACTAATTTTGAAAAACCTTAAGTCCAAAAGGGTTTAATTGTCATAAACCCTAACTGATCAAATTCAAACAATTGCAATCAAATTTAATAGAAAACAAACCAAGGATCTGATACCACTGATGGGTTTTGAGCATAACAAACAAAAACATATTTGTGCATGCAACCCTAAATCTTGGATCTATGCTTTCTCGAATTGAACATACAATTGTTGAACATCAAATGGAAAACCCTAGGAGATCTATATTATTTTCGAAAATCATGACTAGGGTTAATAAACATACCTTTAATTGTTATGTAGTAATAACAATGAAAATCCAAGTCTTCTTGAACCTTGAGAGCAAGCGTCATAAGTGTCACACCTCTAGTAGATCACACCTAAACTAAACAAGAGGATGCAAGCAGAGAGAGCTTGTGATTTTCGGCTATCCTTCAATGATTTCCTTACTTATGTATTGACCAAACTGAACTTCACCCTACGTTGCTTTCCTTTGACGCACACTTCATAGAATTTGATTTTTTTCGTTACCCCTCCACCAAACAGCCTCTATTTACTCAATATTGACATTCCTTTCTCACTCATGTACCCCAATCTTTAATACTATAACTACGTCTTGTCATAAAGTTATTCGAAGGATTGTGATACAACCACCATTTCTCTAATAATACGTCCTTTCAAGAAATAAATTCCATTTTGCAAATTTCCTTTCATAACAATAAGAGCAAATTTGCAGAATTTTATCTAGTCTTATTCACTAAAATACTTCAACCCATGTTTGGCTAAAGTTCCAAGAGAAATTAAGTTCTTCCAAATATCAAGAACATACCATTAATCAAGTTTTTTTAACATATCATCATGCATTTTGATATACACCATGTCACCGCCCATGATACACTGAATCCCCTCCTCACCCATCTTCATTGTGACATTTCATTATGTAAATGATTCGAACCAAATCATGACCAATGTTGTAAAAATCATGTAGGTACTCGGAATCGGCCATGCGCTGAGGCACTTTTCTAAGAATCAGTCAAAAAAGTTAGAATCTGTCAAACTTGGGTCCAACTCGGTCTAACTCAGAAAAAATCGGTCCACCTCGGTCTACTCGGCCGACATGGAAAAACTTGGTCCAACTCAGAAAAACTCGGTCAAACTCGGAAAAATCGTTCAAATTGGCCAAACTCAGGATTTTTTACTTTTTTTAAAATAAACAACAATAATTGTTAAGTAAGTATTTTAGCATTTGTCATATATTTCGTTATTTATTAAAACATTTTCTTGTTTTGTTATAAATTTTAATAAACTTATGATATTTGTTATGTATAATTTTTTCAAAATTCATTTCTTTATAATTTACCCGATCCGGGTACTCCTGAGTACTCACTGCGTAGGTCGAGTTCTTGTTACTCACTAGTTGACCACCCTAGGAACGCCTAATGGCTTTTGCACCACTGATCATGATTATAGCTCATATAATGAGATGCGTCTGAGTCCAAGATCCAAGCATCTGCAAAACAAGTGGTGCATATATCCAAAACGTCGCATATGTCTTATTCTTCTTAACGCTCTTAAACCATGAAAACACTATTTTTACTGCTTGTTTCAATTTTGAAATTTCTCTTCTTTCGTTATGAATAGTCTCTTTTATAGTGCGTATTTTCCTTGTAGTTATAACATTTAATCTTAGCCAAAACTTTAGATTTGGATTGTCATTTCCCCCTGTTTCCACCATCTATTTTTGTGTTCTACCCCTTCCAACAAATAAACCTAAACTAGAACCTTGTTCATTACCAGAAACTCGACGCTTCAGTTCCTTGAACAACAAAAAATCATTCATGTCATTCACAATAGTCTTTATTCTACTATACAACATGGTATTAACGAAATTCTCATAAGAATTCAATAGAGAACGTATCAGAATAAGTGCTTGATCATCGTCTTCAATTTTTACGTCAACAACTTGTTGATCAAGTATAATATGGTTAAAAGTATCGAGGTGATATGGGCTCTTTATGTCATTCAAAGGGTATACAAATGTTGCTTCTGATATAATCGAATCATGATATAATTATTTTGATACTCATCATAGAGTTTCTCCCAAAGTCCAACAACAATCATTTGATCGCTAACCTCCCATAACACCTTATCAATCAAGTTTAATAGAGTAGCTACTATGTGATTTTGCTATAATGTCTTTATTTAACATCTCAACCATGTCTTTCGGGAATTTTGTTTCTCCTTCTAAAGCTATCGCACATAGCCATCATCTTCACCTTCCATAAAGTAAAATCGTTCGAGGCATTAAATTTCTCCAACTCGAATTTATAGGACATCTCTTCAATCGATAGAGCAAATTGTGGCTCTGATGCCATTCGTCATAAAGAAATGAGAATAATCACGTATACGTTCACGAGTATGAGGGGGGTATTCTTATTCACAAGTGCCACCTCATTGGTATGTTGACGGTGACTCTCTTCCTCTCCCTTCACACAGCACACATCCCACCCTCGATCTCACCCAAAATTTGCATCCCTAGTCTTCAGCAACAACCGGCCAAAAGGTCTCACCAAAAAGCTTTTGGATCTCAGCCCTAGTCTCTAACAACGACCGGTCCAAAAGGTATTAACAAGTATCGTTAGAAATCTTGTTTCCCTGCCCATATCATGGTTTCTAAGGCTAGTTCCGCCGAAAAGGTAGTAATAGGTCTAGTTGGAAAGCTTGTTTCGTTGGGAAGCTCATGATCTTCTAACCTTTGTAACCCCATTTCCTCTTGTTAGAGAGGAAGGAAGATAATTCCAGGATATGTTTTTGGATCCGATCAGGGAGGAAGAGAATTTCCAGATCTAATGATCGTTATCTAGATTTGCTGTTGGATTTCACCCAAAAAACAAGTTAGAAGAGAGGATTATGGTTGAAGATGCTATCGATGATTTGTTGTTGGATTTGTATGTTTGTGCATGTTATGTTGTGTTGTGTTTGTGTGTGTGTGTGTGTGAGAGAGAGAGAGAGAGAGAGAGAGAGAGAGAGAGAGAGATTAGTTCGGATTTTAATATCACTAAAAAACAAAATAAGTATGTGCATTTATGTGATTGGTTTCAAGTTTCACCTATGTATTTATAAGTTGATATGTTTAGAGTTTCAAGTTTCACCTATGCATATAATTAAAGCTATGAGGGGTAGTACTATAAGTCTGTGTAAAGAGGGAGATATACTAGGGACAAATTCCAAGTGATAAAGACGGAGGTATCCCACCTTTTTGCAATATAAAACTGTGTTTTTTGTCGCACATTGACATGATCAGTCTTACTTTCTTTAGATATAATGAAATCAAAACACACAAAGCACCATCTTCCCCACATGCAAGCAGACAAAGGAAAATAAATGATGCCTCAAGGAACATCATCGAACAAAATAAAATATCAAACTCCATTGATAAACCGAGCTCTCAATAGGCAAGTTCATAAAGAATGAAAAAGAGATCTACAGGAAATAATTCCATATCCATACCCATATACATATACATATAGTGATACTTTCAGCATCAGAAGGGCAAAATGGTCATTCACTCTCTCATTCTACGCAACAAATTTGAGACAACGTGTATCATTGTGAATATTCTGGCATCGAACAGCACAGAAACGCATCCCACATCTGACGCATGTATACTTCGCTGAAAACCCACAAACAGTGCAAAAGTGGCGGCGGCTGCCGGAGCTTGGCGGCCCAACCGCTGCTCTTAAATAGGTTGGCACATGAGGACCCAAGGATTCCAAGTTTGCCTATTATCAAAACACAACACATGTCCCTCAACCACATAATAATAAAAATAGCCCTAAAAAGCCTGTCTGTCTGTATCCTGCATAAATTGTAACAAACAAAAATAATAAGAGGTAGGAAATGAAATGTAATGTAATCTACTCACATCATGCAAGAGCTCAAGGAATGTTCTCGGGGCTTTCTTTGCAGTCTCGAGTGCTTTCGCCTGGCGAGTTTTACGTTTGGTACCTTTCGATTGCTTTTTGTGGAACACTACAAATGGTAAAGAACTAAAGATAAAACATATAATTAAAGAATATTAAAATAATAATATGAAAACTAATATGACCTTGATCATCATCTTCATCAAGGGATGCATCATCATCATCATTAGGTTCTACCATTTCGGCTCCTGGATTGTCATTCTCAAGCGCTTCAAGACGTGCGAGAATTGCCTAATAGTAATAGTAATAGTAATGGTAAGTAGAATTTATTCTCTCATTTCAATTATATTAATTAAATTTTAATTTTTGGTAGAAAAGAAGAAATCAAATTCCAAGGAAGGACCTGTGTTCGATTATCAGTGCTGGCAAGTGCAGCTGCCATTTTGGGTGCGACTTTACGCGCTCGAGTCGACATGCGACGGAGTGAGTTTGAAATCTCATCATCCATTTGCTTTTGCTTTGCTATAAAATTAGCAAAACTTACAGTAATCAGATTCAGTCATTTATATTTTTTCCATAGTTAACTTATGAAGTGGTTTGTTTTATTTGTTTGTTACTTTTAAATAAGTCTTTTATTTGGTACTAAGTGGTTTTTCTTTTGGGACTGTAGGGATATATATTTTTTCCATAGTTAACTTACTGAACCAGATAGGCCGATTCAAATCTTATTAAAAAAACAGATTCACACAATTCTTTTATCTTACTGGGTCAGACATATGGATGATTAAGAGGTTTATTAAGTGGTTTTTAAAACAACAGCCTAAACTATATCAACATAATCAGATTGTAACACCAAACATAAGTGCGTACTGTTGACATGAAACCAGATAATCACCAAACTATATCAACAAAATCAGATTCTAAGCTTCATTGATTGCACAAAAAAAAAAATCAAGGTGCTTTAAATTTAAGTGCTTTATCGATTCAATATATATATATATATATATATATATATATATATATATATATATATATATATATATATATCAGCTTATCACGAGGTGTGCATAACCAGAAAAAGAAAGTGGGATTCCAAACCAGAAATTAGGAACAAGAATTGAGCTCTAGAAATCAAACATCATGTAACCGGATAAAGAAATTCGGACTTACCAGATGAAGGAGCAGTAGCCGGCGCCGGTGATAGGAAGTCTGGAGCGGATATCGAAGCAGGGTCGCAGCTCTTCTCACCGATGAACGTTGTGAAGGAGCGTGTTTGGGGAATGAGCCTAACGACGTGAACGAGGGCATTCCTATTTGGGGAGAACGGGGGTATTTTGGTAATTTCAATCAGGTCCTCTTTATTTATGGAAAGTTGCATTTTGACCCATATTAAAAAAGGAAAATGAAATTGCACCCCAATGTTCTTGGAATTTGTCAAATCAGTCTTTAAACTTCGTTTTTGATTTTATAGGTGCATCAAATCAAATGGATATCGACTTGCTTATTTGGTCTCCTAACCTGAAAAAACATGTCAACTATGCCATATAATTAAAGAAACATGTCAACTATGTCATATAATTAGTTGAAGTTGATGTGGTTGTCTGGTCAACACATAAGACCCAATTAGTTTAACCCTTAACCACCATTGTGAACCACCATCGACCACCACAAACATCAACTTGTTAATCAAATCCCACATTTAGGGCTTAAAGATTCATCTTCAATGGATTTGCAGTCACAACCAAGAGAAACACTACAACTAATAAATTTCAATCGAAATTAACTATAATATGACAGATCATTCTATAGAAACTCATCGACGGTGAAAGCAAACTCAACTCCATCACCACCACCGCACACTGAAACAAATGCAGCATTAGCCAAAAGCAAATGTGCTAATCTCAAAGGCTCTCTTCCGCCATTATTCAACATGTATTTAATCCATCTATCCAACCTCTTACTTCCTTTTTGTATCTACGCCCTTTCATCTTCACAATCTTGTTATAAAATTCATCATCGCCAAAATCAGTCCGGTCCTTTTCCGTCAAAATCAGATAACATAAGAACCCGAATCATCACATAAATGTCGCCAACTGAATTGTCAGATAAATTACTCCCTGAATCCGTCAACTGATGAGGGGTTTTGCTGGTGTTTGATGGGAACTCGTTTGTATCTTCATGTGAGAGAGGAATTCTTAGGGCTTGTTCGATGGAGTTGTCTTGGAAGGTTGACAAGTCGTTAGTATGTTGGTTTGTACAAGTAAAAAGGGGCAATGTTGAAAGATTTTGATGGTTGTGTTTCGTAGGTTTGTGGTCGTTCAAGGAAGTAGGTCAAGAAGAATGTCTACGTGGTAAGAGGTAACCATGTTACTCCTTCAAAATTCCCAAATGCACTATTTAAACCCAACAAAAGTCTTTTGATTCCTCTGGAAAATAAGTTTAGGGAATAAATTTTGAAAACATTGTAGGACTACAATATCATTTCCCATTTTAAAAACAATGATAAATCATGAACTTATTTGTCAAGGTCCTCTTTATGCCGAAAAACCATTTTGAAAACTCGTTACCAAATTTGCAAATAAACTTCACTTTTTCTACAAAGTATATTGCTACAATAATGTTCAGTCCAAGTCCAATAAATTTTGTATAGATAATAAGCACCTGAGTCGTCTTTAAATATTCTTATTAGAGACAGTTTTTTTTTTTTAATTTTTTTACATATTTAATTTATAAAAAACATATAAACAAAACAATCCATTCCACATTTGACAAAGATCCACTTTTGATTCATAACCTTTTTTTCAAAGAGTAACTAAACATCATCCTACATTTTCTTCCTTCTCACATTTAATGAAAATAATAATCTTTTAATACATTTATCACTATTTAAAATGGGGGTAGGAGAACATACAGAAAGTTAATATAATAAGAGGATATTTAATTTCTCTTTTCAAATTAATACATCTATTGCAACTATCCCTATGAAGGAAACTTGAAAAGTAATTGTGACTACCAAACATCGATATAGATCAATATTTTGTATCTAGTTCTTTCAAATATTATGGTCCGATTTCTGGCCTCCTAAAAGCTATTTAACTAATTATCTGAATATGCAAAATCAAAAGCAAGCATCACATCATATAAGATGTAAATCAAGAGCTCATCAACAACATTATATTTTGTACATACCACTAAAAAAGAATCCGAAAATAAGTAAGAGCCCACTAATTAAAAAGCCCATTTACCTTTTTACCCTTTCTCCACATAAAAACAGCCAAGAATGATTTGCCAGCCAAATCATATGATATATCATCATTTCATGGCAACTGCCCTCTGTGAATTTTGACTAGATGGTATCGTTGACCATTGCTGCCCTAAAGAACCTCCCTCCTGAAACCCATCTTGGTTTTCATACCTCAGGGCCCCACCATTGCATGAATTTACCATTCCGCCCCCCCTCGTTTCTTGGTTGGTGTGGGTCCCGAAACTTACAGCTGGCTCTGAGTGTACGCGCTTCATGCCTGATGACGTGGCAGTTGCCACGTCATCGCTTGTATTTTTTGAAGCATCGGTTTCGGTTTTCTTTGCAAATCGACCGCCGGAACTTCTCACTCTTCTCATCGCGTGTTGATGCCGGGATTCATGAAGATAAGGCTGCAACATAAGAAAAAAAAAAAAAAAGGTGTTATGTTTTCCATGATTCCACCGGAATTGAGAATTGGAATGGAATACCAATGGATGGAATGGAATAAGCAAGATAGTGGAATGTCAATTGTCATTATGTTCTGTTTTTATGATCATGTTTGGAGTTGAATGAATTTTCATATTTATGTTATATGTGAAGAAAAGATTATGGTTTAACTATATTCCAATGGAATGAACCATTCCATTCCATCGTATAAAGGAATCAAATCATAATTCCATTGCATTGAATGCCAACCTTTCTATCTTTTATAAGTTTCTTTTCAAGCTCAGCTTTAGCTCGTGATTGTCTTCGCCTCAATATTGCATGATATTGTTTAGCATTCACATAAACAGGCTCTTGTGCCATTTCAAGTGGCAATGGCATCCTCACTTGTTGCACATCGACAAACTGAGGATGAACCTTCAAAAAAAAAAAAAAAAAAAATCAAAATCTGACATGAATTCAAATTCATCAAAATATATAATGTCAAGATTCTCACAAAATGTTGACCATAAGCTGCCATCATCCCACCATAATACGGATCGTAATAAGGAGCCTACAAAAGATCGGAATTAGTGATTCCGCCCTAGAGTGGAATTGGTGATTCCGGGGAAAAGGAAAAGCTTACAACTGATTGGTTGACAAGTTCAAGATGTGGTGGCTGTGAAAGGGTTTCTTCATTTCTTGGAAGTATGTCATGCTGAAAATGTTGGTGCTCTTGTGCACATGTATCTGAGCTCCAGGGGTAAATCAGTCCATCAATATTATGATAAATAAATATGATCCAAGTGAAGTCAACATGTACAACATCCTGATAAAGGACTTACTATGACAAAAATAAGGATAAAGAATTGATGTGTAGAGAATATATCAATCCTGAACATAAGTACATGAAAGGTATGAGTTATTTGATAGGTTAATAAAGAATTAGTGTAGAGAATACTGATTCCCATTTTAGTTTTATTTTTTTAATTTCCGATTTGACCCTTTTCAAAGCAAAATAAAGGGGTAATCACTAAATTGACCAAAATGGAAGGAAAGAAAGGAGAAAAATAGCTAACACTCAACAAAAAAGATAAAATGAAGAAAAGATATAAAGATAAACCAAGTCCAGAGTGTATAATGAATGATATTTATTCATAGATGTAAAGAAATGCAATGAGTAAACATGGAGTATAGAGATAAACCAATTAGAGAACACCTCTTACTATATTATTAAATAGTAAAAAAAAAAAAGGATTTATATAATAAAAGCTAATTAGATGGGCTAAATAACTAAATTGTAGTAGAATGGAAAGCACCTGAAGGAAAATATGACACATTGTTATGTGTTTCTTTGCTGACATCATCTTCTTCTTCACTTAAAACTTCATCAGACTGAGTGTCCCTGTCTAATGATTGTTCTGGTGAAGATGAATCATGTGAATTTGCTCTCATGGCTGTAGCGGACATGGAGTTGATGCAATTTGCCAGTAAGATTTACCTGTAGCAGATGATTATATGGTGAAATTCGATAGTAGTTTCCATTTTATCACATTGTCACATACGAATTCATAGGATTTATAGAAAGAAACTATCGTATTGAAAAGATACCAAATTACCAATTCAATAAAAAGAAATGAGGTTTTATGCAGATAATGTTGCAATAATGCAAAATAAACACAAGATATATCATGGATTCAGTTGCACCTATAATTACAGGTAATCAAAAGAACCCCTAAATGATCCACCTTAAGGACATACCCAAATCAAAAGAGGATCAACTCTGTAAAACAAAGCCGGCCTTCAATCAAATGGGACTAAATACTACAAAAAATCAGAAATCAAAACTCAAATCTAGAAATTTCGACATTGGAAACCGAAATTCGAATTAAAACAACATACACCCAATTCTAGTCACGAGTAATCATCAATTACATGCAGATAGATAATCCCCATAACGAAATAACAAAACGGAAGGCAGAAAAAAGGGATTTGATGAAGAATTGAAGGAATTTAACATGCATAAACACCGAGGAGAATTACAATTAAATAAAACTGGGATTAATGAATCAGTAAGTTGGGTGTGGAGTAACTTACCGGCAGAGGGTGCTGAAAAGGTAAAAAAGAACCCTAGAATTGGGCAAAGAAATCGGAGAGAAATCTATAAAGAAACTGGTAGAGGTTGAAAATTTAGAGCGAGAATCCCTGTGCATTTATCTCTATCCATGTTGTCTATTTCGAAACTGGATTTGACTCACTCAACCTCACATACGTACCCCCACCAATTTTATATATCGACGCGTGTACCTTTGAGACACATCATGCCTTACTTTATTTAATACCAAGGGAGTGGTTATTATTTTATTTTTCATTTTTTATTTTAAAGGAAACGCATATTCACTGTTTGGGAAATTGTTGATGCCCTCTCAAATTCTTTGATCATCCTTAAATTAATATCTAAATTTTTAGATTTTTATTTTTTTTATTATTATTATCATTAGTAGTATTAAAAATATTTTTTTTATTCTTTTTTCGTATTATTTCGTTGTAATATCTTTGATCTTTTTTTTTTCATCTAAATTACGCATTAAAATTATGACAAATCACCATTCAATTTAATTGTAATTGATATATATTCCTAATATAACGTTAATGAGTTAGTTAAAATAAATATAAAATGATGATATTTATCATAATTTTATTGGGTAGGAACATTT